TCATCACTAAAGTGATTAGACTGATTATTTTTACTGAACAAATTTACAATCCGTATAGAATGATTCTTATCTAGCTTTTGTGAATAGGATAACACTTGACCCAAATAGATTTTAAATACACCTGTAGCAAATAACGAGTGTTGGGCGCTTTGCTTTAGGTCATACCGAACCTAAACACATCAGCCTGCAATTAGCAAGTGTCTTTGAACAAGGTTCCATCCTTGTTATTTATATAAGTTGACCAGTGGAAACCTTATACCAAAACCACAATTCAAACAATCACTGACCACCCAAAATAAAACTTTAGAATTATCATATTTGAAAAATATAGTTACTGAAATCTTGAAAATACGAATTTACAAGTCCCTCGTGATGACTTTCTGCTGAGCTAGGCTCGTTACCGTCTTATCAGGCTTGGATACCGTTTATTTATGTGTTAAGGAAAAACTCCCACATTGAGCGACTTACAAGAACCTAAGACATTATGAGCTTCTTATGATTGTTCATAGTTGATCAGCATCCATGAGATTAGTAAGTTATCTGTGTGCTTGTAATAGAAAAACAGTGCATAGCACTTAAGAAGAATAATACAATTTTAACCATTGAAGAGATTCGGAATCTGAAAGTGAGAAGTAGGAGCATAAGATCATAACTAGTAGTCAATGAATAGTAGGAAGGGGTAAACCATATATTTTATCGTTTAGTTATATTCATATTAATGATAGTTGGGGTCCGTTAAATTCATGATCGGTTTAGATAGGCGGTTCATAATAAATTGCCTCAGTAGTGGGTGAAAGTTCAGGGAAGAGTTGATGAAGCTCTTTAGTTTCAAGTAAGAGTTATTAGTCGAAAGATAGAAGTCGTGATAGTCCTTATCTCAAACAGTTTTGGTGTAATCATGAATATGAAATAGACAACTTGACGAGAACAATTTTAAAATATGAAACCATATCATCATATGTAAAAATAAAAATGACAAATTATATATAATGCTACGACAGATAACAAATTCAAAGTTTAACGTTTGGTGTGCCAGGTAACGTCGGATCACTACTGAAGATGTCGTCCGCTACCCAGACCTGTTTAAAGGCATCCAGCAGCATGCCTACAGGTCGACAAAGTAAACTCGTCAACCTACAGGACTCGTTTAACACATACGGCTGAAAGACTTCACTGCTACTACGCTGAAATGATCAGTGTTCTTGATCTTAACCGAAACCGTGAAAAGCGATTTTAAAACCAATAAACATTTATTCCACACTATACTTCCAGGCTTCTATTAATAATAATAATAATAATATATTTCTGCATGAGCAGGTACACGCCATTTTTATAGGCATGATCTACAAATTGCAACATTTGCTGGCTCACAGCATGCGCCCCAACTTATTAAGTTTGTAGTTGTGGTAAAGTAGACTCGTAGAGCGCTTGTTGTAAACCATGACCAGAGGAGACGCGTACGTCAAATTCGTTCCAGACTTCAGAAGTTCCATTGCTGTGCCCTCAGAGCAAGACTCTGAAGAAAAAAAGAGAAACAGAAGAGCAACAACGCACTTGGTTACGAACGCCAAACGTTGCTTAACACTTTGTAGTCAAACAGAGAGGTATAATAAATTAGATTAAATCCATATTATTTCTTGTTAGAGTGAAATGAAGTCAGAGGCTCTATATAAGAGAATGTAGTGATAAAGAACAATGAGTTGTAATGTTTAACAAGTCGAAGTAAGCTCACATGAAGGAAGGGAAGTCATGAGTGGTACAAGGAAAGCGGCTTATTAGAAGGGAGTGTGCATATAGAAGGTGAAGTGTTAAGAATACTAATGACTATATATTTCATTGTCCAATTTTTTCTTCCTTTTCTTTTTGTTGTCCTACCGATGACAGCTAAACAACCTGTTCTACTGTGCTACGATTTATCACACTAGACTTCGCCTCAGTGATTTGTCTGTTTTTTTTAGACACCAGTCACATTCTAATGGCAGCAATCAGCCTCAATTCTGGCTGGTAATTAAACATACTTTGATCCGTTTCATCGCAAAAAACTTGGCATTGTAGATCACTTTCTTCATTATCATTAGTGTTCCTTCTGTTCATAGTCGGGACGAATTCTGTAGCACGCAACAGCAGGGCTACTAGACGAAATCGAATCACATATGCGTTCTCAAAGGTCACAGTTCGTATGATATGGTATTTTGTGACAGTTGGTAAAAAAAAGCAAACTTATGCAGTTCTATCACACAAAACTATCTGCCAACTAGTTGGTGTGTCTGCATGAATACACTTTGCATGGTTCCACTGATTTGATCTTTTCACTAGCTCGTTTATAAGCTGATATTGCAAACTATTGACCATACCTGCAAGATTGGAGTGAACTTCATGCGTAAGAAGTAGATAATTATTACCAAATTTACTCTTAGTCTTTGTACGACACCATATAAGATTATGATTGTGCACTGGTTACTCAATCATTGTTTCAACTTTTGATGTAAATCTGTATGTATGATCGTGTATTTGCTTCCAAATCCAACATACTCTCACATGTCGGAGGTTCACCTACTTTGTTGTATTTTGTAAACGAGTCTCTTCAATAAGATTGATGTGTTCAACCACTTGTCATATGTTCATGGCATCTCTTGATGGTAAACCAGCCAGATGCGACGTTAGTGATACACGTAGCCAAGAGCTCTTATCTGTATTTTTCCATCATACCTGATAGTACATGAGTAACAAAGTAGGTATTTCTTTGATGATTCATCTGCATAAAAACGAAACTGACATGAGAAATCTTGTTGAGGTTGTTTATTTAGTAGTTCTAATACACATCAGTTGGTTTCAATGGTGTAACAGCTTAGCTGACGCATTATTACCTCAAAGTCACCTAATTATTTCTTATATAGGCTGTTCCAACCAGATTGTCAGGCCGTCGCGCCGCTCAAATTTTTCAAGAGAACAAAGAATTTTATCAGTGAAGTGATATATCATGTCGAAAAAATAAACAGTGGGTTGTGTACACAAACTGTGATTGGCATTACCTTGTCAATGAACGATTCATCTGCAGTCAGTCAGCCACAACGTAGGACCAGGCACATATATGCATCGGTCCTCATTAGCACAACAAGATGAACACCAAATTCATAGAAACAGATGTTTTATTGGTGGCAATATATAAAAAGATTTCGTATAATGATTTGATGCAGTGAGAAAGAATTACATCGTAGAAAGAAAGGTATAAAGTAATCTCATGGTTTAAGAGAAGATAAACAGTGTATACACCCACGTCATTGTAGTCCATTCTGAGCCATGTCACCAACAGTCTCCAACTATTGATGACGACAGTCATGCGGACCATAACCAAGTAGTTTGCATCTACCAACATGACTCAGACTAGAGGTTAGCGTCTTCAAGCACTGATGCCACGTTTTGGTTTGGCCGCCCCTAACTTTCTTCCATTTGTCTCCATTACTAGTCAGCATTGTGCGTCGTGGTAATCGGTGTTCAGGCATAGGTAATGCGTGGCCCAACCGTTTTAGTCGATGAAGATTTACAACCTCATAAACTAATTTACCATCATTACCTAATACCCTGCGTCTAACCTCACATTCACCTACCCGGTGATCCCAGAAGATGCCGGCAATATTTCTAGGGAATCTGTGGTCAAATACTTGTAGCTTACAAGTATCATCAACTCTTAATGGCCACGTTTCGTAGCCGTAAAGTAAAACGGAATGAACTGCCGCTCAGCATACCCGTCCTTTTATTGATAGGCGGATATCTCGCCTTCGCCATAGGTGACGTAATTTAGCAAAAGCCAAACGAGCTTTGCGAATCCATGCTGAGATTCCGTCAGACATCAACCCATTAGGTCTGGTTAGACTACAAGATAAGTGAAATTGTCAGCGCGTTCGACTACTTCACTGCCTATCTTTGGTTCAAGTGTTGACGCAGGCTAGTACTGGAGCAACAACTTGCATTTAGAGGGAGAGAAGCGCATTCCAAACATTCTGGCATTGTTGCTCAGTGCTACCAAAAGACTCTGCACTTTACCAGCGTCTTCACCAAACAGGACTATGTCATCTGCGTATTCTAAGTCGATAAGTGGACCTCCCGGAAGAAGATCAATACCCGAGAATTCAGTCGATGTGAGCGTTATTTCCTTCAGTAAGTCTATGATGAAGTCGAACAAAAATGGAGAAAGTGGACAGCCTTGACGGACACCACTTGAGGTTGCAAAAGCAGATGAAAGTTCGCCATAAGCTCTGACTCGACTAGTAGTGTTTGGATAAAGAGCCTTCACGAGGTCTGTGTACTGAGGTACGCCTTTCAATCACAGACACTGCCACAGCACATCGCAATCTGCTCATGTCGTTAATAACCCTGATGAAATTTCGCGAGCGACTCCGAGTTAAGTGAGCAGTATTTTAAGGTACAGATGCTCCCAGCTTGATACTGCAGCAGCACATATATGATTCTCAACCTTCCGATGATTTTATGCTTGTCTTAGCCCAAAATTTTGCACCATCATGGAAACCCTCGGTTTAGTTAATTGACATCGATATTTATACGTCTAGACCCGCCGAACATAATTCTGGATGAGGGACGAAGACAGTTTGTAGAGGAACATCTGATTCTCATAAGGTTACTGACCTCACTGTTAACTGACCATTATTGTTTTCAATTAGATCCTCAGCAGGCTGATGAAAGTCGGAAATTTTGAAGTATGATTAAATGTTCAAAGTAGTTTATATTTCATAATACACCTGACCTACTACTAACACTATTGACCTGATTTAAGACATCTTTTTAAATTCTGAGTACAATATATACAGTTGGATCGCTAGTTCGTAAAACTTTATTACTATGAGTGACCATCAAACCAATTTTTCGAAGTCCTTTTACTACTAAAAAACGATTCATGCTTTTGACCTGAACGAAAAAGCCTGAAGTGATTTCAATGTTCAATGTAACCTCTGCATTTTGTTTTGTTCAGCACATCAAGTTTTGAGGTACTTACTTGTATTGTGGTGTTGGTATTGTTTTAATTCAGTATACCATATATCTAGAAGTCCATAATTCATTTCTTAGTTTCATTGACGTATAGGTTAGGGATATTTATTCAGAACTATCCACTGTAGGCCCTCACATTAATGTGTCTACGAATAACGGATATTACCACTCAACAAGTCTTTTTCACATGGTACTTCGTTCGTATAATATAAAAAATTGAGGCTTATGAGCTGTAGGGCTGCGTGTATTGACTCACTAGTACTTTAATAATACTGCCGCTAATTAGCACTGCGTCTGGATTTGCCCCGAACGCTTCAGAAGTCTTCGCTAATAAAAGATATATTTAGCAACTAGATATATAAGCAAGGACATTATTCGACTGACAATCCATCCGCTGCCTACTAACTTCCGTAGTTGTACAACACATGAATACATTCAGATCTCTGCTTGAAGGTTTGAGGGCTGTGTGTGGTATCCCTTTTCTAGCGTGCCCCTGCGAGGGTCCTGTCTTTTATTAAATCAGTTAATTGAACGTACAGACACCTATTCTGGTAGTAAACTACTAAAGTTGAGTACTTGGAAGTATAAAATGGATAATACAGGCACTGTGTTCATCCATGGCTTTTGAATTCGATGGTTGTCCTGGTTTTTTCTTAAAAGAATGGATGCCATATCCGAGACGTTTTCTTAGTACTCTGTACACCGTACGTCGTCAAGTTCATGACTCTAGTCCCTCAGACTAAGGACATTCAGGAATGCACAGGTAGTGATTCTACGCTCTTTCCTAGGAACCTGAGTCGTACTTCAAACGGAATTAAGACTCACTATAATGGTGTAAAATGACAAATGTATTGTTTATCTAACCTAGTAAAGTTTATCCAAATATACTCTTTCGTCCTGATATTGTGGCTTAAACAGACGCAGTGAACCGTGGTCTTCAGATTATGGCTTACTGTAACCCTCGGTCCATTAGTTGCGAACTAAGGTCAAAATGTTTCTTCACTTTCGTAATTCCATCTGCTTTCGTGTCCAGTGTGCATGAAAACAGCCTCGTCAACAAACAATTACATTTTATACCACCATAACATGCCGCCAAGTTCGGCTCAAAGTATATATATATGTATAGTATATAAAAATTTAGTGCTACTTGTCATATTTTGACGTCTTCGCTTTAAAATATTGTGAGGGATCTGATTTATGAAAGTTCGTTAAGATTATTTATTATACACTAAAATACACGGATCTACGCAAATAGTGTCAAAGTGACTAGTCTTATTTCGTAAAGACAACGACAGAATTGTTATTTGAATTTGTGAGATAACTTTTTGTCCGGTTAGTTTGTTAGCATTTATCACTGTATCTACGTATTCACACTCGTTCTTAATATTGCCTCGATTATGCTGTCTCTTTGACTATTCACGTGGCTAAGGACTTAGCAGGTGCGTTTAGCTGTTGATTTAATTGCTAACACTCGTACTTAGTGTCTGAAGCAATGAAAGATACTCCTAGTACGGGTTTGTCACATTTGTACATCGAGACGGGGCATTACGCCTGGCGGTCCTCCGGACAAATTAGCAGATATTTTAGGGTCATAATGCGCGTTAAGAATGGATGTTTCCTGGCGGCTCATCGACAAAATTTGAGTCAGCGCGTTGCAGCTTGAAATGTAATGCCACCCGGTTGCCTGAACTGATGCGGGGTTGGGTTCAACCACGCGGCTCAATAATTGCCCTGAACACTGAGTCACCACTCCACTATTCCTGTCTTTTTAGGGTGAACGACTTGTCGTATATGTCGGTTATTTTTTTGTCTATCACACTTCGGAATCGGCTGATTTCATCTAATTACCCATCACAGTCACTATTCAGAGTATCTGTAGTCCTCAAATGTTATTTCTGTGGATGTGAAACTTTCTAAAAGTGGGGATTGCAATGATCTGGTCCTGACATTTTTCATTCAACACTGAAAATTTCGACCTATTTCCGAATAGATTTTTTTCCAGTAGGAGTAATATTAGATAACTATTAACGTAAACATTGGTCACGTCTATGTATTGTATTGCTAAGTGCGAAAGATATGTGTGAGTCAAACGGGAACAACGCCAGATCACTAAGTCTTTGCATTTGGACTGAGGAGTACCGAAAGGTAGTTTCTTTACTGATTGTAAGTCGTCCTGATCATAGTATTAAATAGTTGGAGATCCTCACTGTCATGCCTCGAAACTTTTTCTGTTTTACTGAACTCAAGGTTCATGTTTTGTAGGTTTTTTAGCGAGGTTCTTTGTGCAGTTCTTTAAAATTTGATTATCACTTTGTTAACTTTCACTATTCTGATCTGAAGTGTTACAGTACGTGTCGATGCACACTTTCGTCAGGTCGTACGGAATTTATCACTAGTCTCCATACTTTACAGATAAGACAATAAATGTTACCGAAAAGTTCCATAGTTTTGGGTCCATATTTCTGTATTTCCGTTATGTAAAAAATGACTGGATCTAAGTAAAGACGATTATCGTTTTACACTTATGTATAAACATTTAGTTATTTGTAACAGGAAATATGTCTAAAAACAAAACTTCATTAAGTGGATTCTTTTTAGGTTTATGGATCCAAACCGCATTCAACCCATGATGCTGTCTCAAGCTGGGTACATACTACCTCAACCAGGACTCAGCCTTGTCTCTCCTTTGCCTGGCGGTGCTACTGCGTATGCCCACCAACCATCATATCAAAAGTCATTATACTTTCCATTGTCGTTTGCTGGTTATAATGACCCTCAAGTTAGTGAAATGGACTTCTCTAGCTCCCAGGTCCAGAGCACTTACACTTCACCTGCCGATGTGCTGGAAAAAGACTACCAAATTGTTACTTATGAAGAGCTTGAAAAATTACTCCCAGAACCCAAACCATCTGGTCGCGTCGAGTTGGGTTTGCTTCCGAATGGGTGTGCTTATGCACCTAAAACAGCAAGTCGAGAAAATTACTTGTTATTTGCATCAAAATATAGCTATATATTGTATTTCACGTAAGTTTCTGTCAGTTTACCTTTCTTAAAGACATAAATACCGCAACATACGTTGTACCGTTAACAGACATATATGTTTTCACTTTAAAGCGCTCTAAAGTTAATATAATCATTAGAAACATGTAAGTTTTTTGAAAAGTGTTCTGGTGATGACTACGAATTAATAACGCCGTAAAACTGAAACATCGTCAGCTCAACAAATTATTTCAGACATGATGTCATACATCAAACTCAACAAAATCCCTTAACATAGTTTTATTCTTCTACCTCAAAATTAAACTGGTTCACATTATAATTGCCGATACAACAACCATAGCGAATATGCACTGCCATTATGAATTATTCTGTTCTCAACAGAGACCATAAATAAAGTGGTGGATGCATAAAAAACACTGGGTACGTATAGACTGAAGTATAGGATTTGCGCACACTTATTTCTTGCTAGTCTACACAAGGGAAATCAATCACAGTGCTACAAAAAAGTCCGGAATCTGACGACTGTAACCGTCAAATACAATTTAATAGCAGCCACACAATTTCTTTGTTTTAGTAATTAATAATAGACAACCTTCCTAGAGGTAAAATCTTACGGAACGCATCGACATGGTAACCATGGGTTAAGTTTTTCACACATTTAAATGTTACCACCTTGTGTTATCTCCTGCTAATTCGAGTAAGTCCGATTTAACTGCTCATCACGATAATCCAGTTGTATTGAAAGCTTACATGCTTCGCATTTTGGTGATATTATTCCAATTTCGTAAATGGTGTTTTAATTGCATTAATATCTTGCTATTTTCTTTAAGTCATCATTATTTTTCTCGAGAAAACTTATGCCGGGATCAGACGTTCCTGAATATGCTTGTTGATCGACTGATTTTGCCAATCGAAAAGCTTGTCAAAGCTCCTCGCCTAGCAGCTCTAAATACTACTCATGAAGAAGTGGAAAAAGCCTTACTTGGCAGTAAGATTGTTTGTGTTGAAGATATGAATGCGGGAATGCGTGGTGTTCGCCGCATTGATGGTTGTAAGTTATTTTATTTACGTTAGAATTAGAGTTATTTGATTTTGTTTGCCTTTGACATTTCAGTAGTTCAAATGTAGCTGTGTGGTTTTACATACTTGACATTTCACCACTTGGTCACGGTTTCATTTATTACCGTTTTGACAACTAGTGTAATATACAGCAGGATTAATTTAGCTTGTGGATATCACTTTTATATTTTTGACGGTATGCGCACTCAACAGCTTTTTGTTTCATAATTATGAACTACTGAACATTGTATTTCTCTTATTAGAAAAACTAATAGGTTCTTTGTTACCGGAATTAAATCGCGTTTTTATTTAAGGTTTGATTTAAGAACTTGTTTAACAAGAAACTTGTTACACCCTCATTGTCTGTTGATTTCTATTTTCCGACTTAAAAATAGGTATACCTTGTTTATCGCTTGTGTTGCATTCTTATTTCAGATCCTGGTCTGTCTACGAATCCTGATACTTCAATAAATGTGCAATCTGAGAGTGGATTATCGACTTTTACATCGTCTCAGAATTTAACCTCGTTGATTGGGTCTTTCTCTCTCCAACCACAATTGCCTGATCAACAAATTACTACCAGTCTTCAATCCGTAGTTGTGTTGAAAACTGCTGGTTCAGACAAATTCCGATCTGATGGCGTTATAAGATCTGGACACATGAATTCTGAAACAAGCAAAGAGCTTCTACAAGCAAGTACTTTAATTCAAAACCCGGTGACAACGAATGTTTGCATAGCACCTGCGTCTCATCAAATGTCCATTCCATTATTGTTACCTTTATGTGGTATCGAGAACTGCAGCAATATTCATATAGAATGTACCGGCACAGCAGGTCCTTCAGTAGCACCTTGTCGTAATACTGCTCCTTGGATATTACAACGGCCTACAAAACAGCATAATCCATATTCTCGTGTTGCACATGTGATAGTTCCTCAGTCTATAAATCAAACGAATTCTACAAATTACAATAAAAACCAACCGCTCGCGTGGGACTTTCATCAGTGCCCACATCTCCCAGCTGCGAACAGTACACATTCAAGTGTAGTACCAATACGGCGTCAAACGCATTTGCCAAATTATTTCATTCGTCAGACAGGGAATGTTATAGAGTCATATCCTGTCCCATTTTCAATACCACAAACAAGTAACACAAATCAACCTTTCAATCTAGCTGTAGCAGCTGCTTTAGCATCCATGAGTACAAGCACCAGTAATAGCATTAATCCAAACCACTATGGACATCAACCGCAGTATTTCCCCAACCAGTTGTTAACCAACTCTTCAAACATCAGTCCAATTGGAGCTAACCAACAACGACCATCAAATGCACTTTTGAATCACCTCCAAGCAGTAGCTGCCATGTCAGCTGTTGCACAACATTCGAATGCTACACCTTATTTTCAGAATCCTGTATCTCAAACTAATCCTTTTCATATCCCCACCCCTGTGCCATTGCCAGTGTACTACACCGCTCCACAGTTATCGTTACAATCTTCTGGTGCGCGGAACTCTTTACAGCGTTTACAACAAAATGTGTATCCGATGCAAAGCTATGGCTATCAGACAGTCCAAAACGTCCCAGTATCTGAGTCATCGGATAATCTAAGGTCAGATAGTAGATGTGGCTTAACGGTACCGAATCTCCCACAACATACAAATAACTTGATTTATCCTATACTGTTGCAACCACCCGTGCACATACAGCATAAGTTACCCACACATATGAATGGTACAGGGTGGCAGGTTCACAACCCTGGTCAGTCGATACGTGGAGCATTCAATTCAGTAGGTTTAACGCCTATACCCATTAACTTCACAGTCATTAACACTAATGGCTCTACTTCGGTAGCCAATAATGGGATGCTCAAAGAGTTACCAACGTTTTCAGACACAAAAGATAATCTTGATAACAATACAGCAGTAGATAATATGGTAAGTGATGCTGCAATAAATGTGTCTCTTGCATCTGAAAATCAATTGGATAGTGGATCGTCTGTGTTACCAGGGTTAATCTCATCTACTGAAAATTTTACACGCGCAGTTATTGGCGATAATCAGTCTCATAAGCTTCCCAAACAAGTTGAAAAAATGACCTCTCCTGGTTCGGTTCATGATTCTGAGGATTCAGTTAGTTCTGGGATAGGAGACATGACTGCCACTAGCACTGGTGATAATGACAGTCGTAACAATTCGTCGTGCACACCAACCGAACCAACTCGTATTATTCCGAAATCTGACTACGTACGAAACAAGTCTTCAACACGAATTAAAGAAAAACTTACTGGTACATGAGTCTCCGAAATAATGAAATTCATAATTTTGTATTATCATTCACTTAAGCTACAAGTGATCATCCAATATCATGCAGTCATTTGTTCCAAGTAATTTTACACAGCTTACTGGATAGACTAGTAAAGGAAACTCATAAGCAGAACATATATTGTGCTTACCAGTTATCTTTTTCACCATTATAATTAAAGCGACGGAAATAGAAACAAAGAACCATAACTACTGGCCGTTTCATCCTGCATATTCACGAACCACCGTTCCGGTCACAATTACGCTGTTCATTTTCATTACAAATGCTTTATTTTAAGTCGGGAAATACTGTGATTAGAATTCGCGTTACGGCCACTCCTATATGGTGTCTAAACTGCCTTTTCTTTCATTTTGAAGATTTCTTAGTTACTGTTTTTATTCCACCCTGTTTGTATATATGATTTATTGTCAGTACATACGTATCTATATACCACCGCTTTACTTCAAGCTTCCTTAAGTGTTATCATTTTGCGAGGTATACTGCACAATTTACATTTCCCCATGCAAAAGAGAAACCAATTATCCTACCTCACCATATACGTATATCCCAGAAAATCTCCAGATAAGCGCCTTAGGTCTAGATTTTCGTAGTTATATGCAACTAGGAGTTTAAAGGATTAGAACTATACCGAAATCAAACTATTTGTTTTTCATTGACTTTCTAATTACAAACAAGCTGAGATTTTTTCCTTATCCGTGCTCTCCCTGAGACTTATTAATTTGAGCTGCTAAAGCACCTTGATTTTCCATTAAACTGTTTATTTTGAGATATTTTCTTCCTTATAGTGTTACCTTGCAAATCTTAAAAATAACTTCTTGGTTTCAAAGTTATGCAAGATATTTCATGAGTGAATAGATGTGCATTTTCTTATTGCGAAGCAAATCATTTGGACGCATTTTGTGAAGTATAAATAAATGGGATTTCGATAGAAATCTAAACTTTTTACTTATTATGTTTACAATTTTTTGGTGTGTGCTGCAGTCGTTTAAACAGACATACAATTGTCTTTAGAGTGTCAAAATCAGGTAACCGGGCTCCTACAAAGATCATTGTGGATAATTAACCAAGGTTTTCGTTACTCGAGTTTGAATAAGACGTGGGATCATACAGCGGGAAAGATGGTATTTTAACATCTAAACTAGTACCATTGTGTTTTTCAAACCGAAACGTTCCCCACATGTGGGCCCACTCCACGGGGAAGTGGATATGACTGTGATACTGAAATACTGGACATTCTGGAGAAAGGACAGGTTGCTGAAATTTGAAGGAAAAGTAAATCAGAGTATGCGAAAATTGCACCGTACTTACCATCCCTACAACTCCTTTTCCTCCGATTGACTCAAGGTTTCCGGATATTGAGAAAATTTTCAAAAAGCGCTCACGAAGTTGAACGCGGTCCATCGTGAGGTTTTCTAATCGGATTAAATAGCGCCACTTTCAAATATAAAAGAAATTAGGAAATATGTCATTTCGTATGATGTTAGTGTAGTGTGGTTTTCGAGATTAATAAATGTAATTTGTACATGAAGTATACTAGATAATTAACCTTACCCGGTTACTAACCCTTCTCTTGTCTACAAAATATGAGGATTCTACGCAACCTCTGTGACCATGAAAAACGTAATTCTGATTACCGTCGCCCAGTGACAAATCATCAGAAACGGTTCTTAAAAATAGGTTTCAAGGGAACCGTATCTGACTACACGCTGGATAGTTTTGAGTTTTATTCTGTGTAAGGTTATTTAAAGAAACCGTGGCAACAATTGTCGACCCACAAACATGGGAAATGTAGTTACTCTTAAAAGTAATTATCCGAACCTTATAAGGTAGTCTGGTTGACTAAAACGGCGTATCTTTATTTTAACTACCGATGAAACTTCAGCAATAATAATACATGATAACGTCGGTATGCATGTTGACCACAAATTCAGTCAGCGAATTAAATCGTATTATCTCGAGCTCAGCTCTGCATGGGTCGAAGGTTCTCGTATCTTATATCACGCTCCTCGTCGTTGGGGTCTGTTTTGCTGAACACAGTCGTCATGCGTAGTTAGTCGATTTAGGGTTAGTCATGGTATAATTACATTTTTAGTCCGTGTTGTATTCAGTGAGCAACATTTGTTACTTACATGCAAATGTCATTATTTAAAAGAACGCGGTAGCCAGTGTCAACACAATACTGGATTACATCGTGATTACAGTCACTCACACTTACGCGGTTTTTTGAGTCACTAAGTATTATTTTCTACTGTATTAGTTTAGTAGTTCGATACATTCCAAGGGATGTAGTTTGATTTTTTCTGTAGTTCAGTCGGTAATTTTTGACATAACTGAATTCAATTTCGATGTTTTGAGTACTGCACAAATGAATTAATTTCCCTACTAGACTCAGTAATAGTGGTTACTAATAAGGGCGACTATCAAAAAGGCACATACTATTAAGGGTGAGGATTGAAAGAGGAAATAGAACCCATTCCAACGAGTGGAAAAATTGTATTTCTGACATTTCGTAAACAAATAACCGAAATGAAAATCCTTAAGGTTGTGAACTCTATTCGATCTACTTTGTTCTTTTGCCCTAATGACCAAAAATGTAGATCTTTAAAAAAAGAGTAGGAAGATGATGCTCGACATTTCTCATTATGTATATTCCTGAAAATATCGTCCTTCGTCCTATTCAGTGAAACCTAGTGAACTATTATTCTGTATATTATTGAAGTCCGTGATAATGGTAGTCAATTGACTAGGTTTCATTTGATATTAATTAGATGAACAGGTGGAACTTATTATGCGGACCTGATGCTATTATTATTATTACTAAGTAGCATATGGTTGTTAGTTATTTGTGTGAGCCAAATTATCATTTTTTTCAGTTAAAACAATGCTGAGATTTACGCTTGACAAGCTAAAACATTTAAAAAATTATTAGTCCTAAATCACAAATCCAACTACGCTACAATATATTATAGATGATTTCGTTGCAGAGGCGTTAGCGGTTCGTTTCGATTCTGAGCTATGACTGCAAGCTGTCATTATACCACGACTCAAACACCTAATTTCTTATACACAGTCGATTATTTACAGAAACTTTATTCTGATTTTTTTAAAATCTATTCATCTTTCTTATATTCCTTAAGTGGACATTCGGTTTTATCATTTTTTACTTTTCGATTATTACGCAACCTCGTTTTGACCTCGAAATTAGCTACCAATCAAACTTTCCGACAGGCAACGCGGGTTAACAGGCGTAAGTAAGCAGTACAAACTCCCCACACTGATAACTCACCCTGAAAGGGTGATTTATCAATACAATATAATAATTGTAGATATATTAACTGACTAAATATGGTTGATCAGTAGGGAGGAACGTCAATCGAATGCAGATGTAAACGCTACATACATTATAAAACTTTTGTAACGCAGTTCAACAACGGAAGTGTAGACGTCCCACAGTGTGACTTCGGAAATTGGTTGGCCGCGGCCACCATATCTTACTGATCTCTTGACACAGGTGTCTTCAACGTAGTTCGTTAACCCTGACTTCTTTTTCGTTCTCTATAGAGAATTGTAATTTCATCAAACTATCAAATCCAGGTATGACATCTTCGACTGGTATAAAAGCTAACACTGCCAAATTACGACTCTACATGGCAAAATTTTTACCTATCATGCAACGTTGCTGAACGTTCGCTGATTGTTGAAGTTTTCGCCATATACACTGGCTCAGTTGGGAGAGACAACCTTGTTGTATTGCGTTTGGATATATTTGTCGAAATGTTTAATGTTCGTAGACAGTCATGATAGCTGACGTATGTAGTTCGTTTAGTTTGTTAAATATGTGCGCATACGAATCCCTACTTCCGTCACTCAAAACATAAACCAATGGAAAGATCGTAACAGATTTCAAAGAGTGAATTGCGTATAGCTGACCAAATAAAAGTGGTGAGATCCTGAATGTCCCATCAGTATACTAATAAGGACACTGTTCCAACAATTCCAGTATCGAAATCCTATTTTCTGTCGGTAGGTAATTCCCTCCCCTAACAGTCGCCCTATACTCAGAGGGTAAATTTAGCCTTATCAAGGGACTTGGATTTGGTAAGGGCGCCTGGTTTTTATCTCGTACACGCCGAACTATCCGTTTCACCAGATTAACAACTGAAAGTTGAGTTGATACTACATAAGACAAACCGGCTGACACTGTAGTCATTATTTGATGTGGGAACTTGGCGAAGAAGCTACTTAATCTTTTGTTGTTGATTGTCTTTTTAGCATTTATATTAGCTTTATCTGGAATGACTTCGCTTCGTCGAACATTTTGTAATGAATTCACGCGTCGTAATACTGCGCGACCTACACTTTGCGATACAATAATCCGTACATGTCCAAATATTCTTGTTGTTAACTACTTTCTCTTTTCTGAAGGTGTAGCCACATACTATTAAGAAGTCTGAGCCTTTATTGCACTTCATTTATCCCAATTTCGTTCCAATGAAGTGTAGAAAATATGACCTAGGGTGTAACCCATCAGCCTAATGTACAATTGTTTCATTTTGAGCTGTAATCAAAGATTTCGAAACAAATAGACACAAATTCATTCTATATACCATTTCCACTGTAGATGCTTGTCATTAAGTCGATTACTATCATATTTTACGGTCATCTGAAATGACCTAACAAACACTTTTACTTGATGTGGTGGTGCATTGCTGATTACACGAACCTGTACTTGAGTACTGGACTTAATTTTTGTTACTACAAATTACATTGGGGTATAAGCTGTGAGGTGTAGTTTGTTTTCAATGATTTAACCTAAAGTTGCCCATAAAAATTACAAGAGTGAATAAAAAAAGTCTAATTCCTGATCATATTCATGCTCCACTGGGATTCGAAGACCATCTACACATCGGTGAAAGATCGTCAGAGATAGCAGAGAACCATGGGCCTAGATTTCGTGCCAGTTGAGACTCGTCAGCAAGACAGCTGGGATCTTGAGGGAATTGGTTCTTATCGTATGATGTAAGCCATTTTCGCAGTATGAAACATTACCACCGAGGCGTTCGGGCTGCGAATGTCCCTCTTCAGGACAGATAAATAGATTGATTGGTTATTCAGTGGTGAACTTTGTTGTGCTTGTCTAGACCTTGGAGATAGTCGGATTCTCTTGAAATTAGATACGTCTTGCTGACGAGTGCAACCTAACATGAAATCTACGTGTAGGTTTCTCTACCGAGTACCTCCAACCACCTTTCATAATACTCTAGCACACGCGATGTTGAGTCACGTAAAATAATAAACATTGCCACATGGTCAATAGAATACAATGAGCACTAAGTACTAGCTAAAAGTGACAATTCTTACCACTTAGTGATTAATCAATTTAATTATCTAGGTGTCCTAACAGTAAACTGCCTTTTTCTGATCTTTTATCTTTCGAGAGCTGTTCACCGTAAAATTTACATTTTAAATACTGAATATTAAGGAACGGCATAGTTTTGAAAAACAAACTTACGTAGCGTACATCATTTTCTTTTCTATCCTGAAAGAAAAAGAAACTTTTTTATAACAAACAATAGAGGATAGATTGGGCTACATAAAATTTATATTTAATAACTTACCTCTGTTACTCGACGGCCCATGTAAAAAGGCATTACTGTCGTTTGAATACCTTCGGTCACTTCGCGATGTATCGATGTAACTTCTAGACTTTGCTTTCGCGCCTCAATCCAGCGTCTTAAATGATCGGTTGGAATAAATGGTGGATCTTTTGTAAGAGAATATTTACAAACATTCATAATCTTAACAGATACAATATTTCATGAAACTAAACAGTCAAACAATCGGACAGAGATAAATAATTTAGAAGGTAAGATTTTCTTAAAATACTAAATACTTTTATGCTTAATATTTTATCGCACACTGAAAATGTAGGAGAACGAGACAGTTTCGCTTTTATATAATCAATTTATTATCCAACTCTGCTTATAATCTTTAAATATTTTAAGCTGAATTCGAGTTCTGCTGAACTTAAATTAATCTGAATGGTTTAAATCAAATAAAATGATAGAAGTAACAAAAACTAGGCTTTAAAGAGATATCACAGAAACCATGGTCGTTTTCAAGTTTGAGTTATAACGTGGATGCTTTTCTAAAACCAAATAAGACTAAGTCCTTTTACATTTTAATACAACGACAATATACTTTCGAAATTGAAAAGGATGTATTTGTTTCGAATGTTTGGTCGAAGAACAGTTGCAGATTAATTTGGCTTTCGTAACATGTTGCAGATCGGGGATTAAGTTGCAATTCTCTCTATTTAGTTATTTAATGATCACAGAGATGTGCACAGTTTGTTGCTACGTATCTTCATTGGCTTGAAAAAACCCCAGACTATATAGAGTATGCAAAACGGTTACGAGTAGAATTTTCTAGCTGCAAATAATTTTTTTTACTTAGTGACTTCACCCTACTTTCGTTTCTCAATTTATGATTCAAATGAGTGAAATTAAATAGGGTACATGTGACAATGTCTAATTTAAGATTTAATCTATATTAAGGGACTAACAAAACATTAATCGTAACAATCTATTTGTGGGAAAGATCCGACAAACCAATATAATTAAACAAACCTTTATGATACTGAGTGAGTATAATGTCTGTTTAAGCTGATAGATCCACTCAACGAACTGTACAAACGCGTCAGTTAAGTTTTGCGACGAGATTTTACAAATCTTTTAACATTTCCAAAGTTACTTTATATTTACACAACTGTCTTTTTCATGTCGGTTAGGGCTCTGTTATTTGTCTTACTTATCCGATAAATTACACAGCAACATTTAGTATGTACAGATTAGTTCAAATGATTGTGATAACTTTGGACTACTGCGCTAATTAAGTCATTTCTGATTTTAGAAACAAAGGTACGTCATGGGTATCCATGTTTTAACTGGTTTTTTCATTGATGTTATACAGAAGGCCTGCACACAACCAATACCTGGACTTGGTGGAAAAGGAAGTGAGGCCAGTTTGTGACAAGACGCCACAGAATGAAAGTTTCTTGTACAAAACTGTGACCCGTCGATCATTTTCAACTCTCTGGTTACTGCTCTAGAGTCATTGAAGTATTAAAAAATTAGACATCTAAGAGAAGTCATACAATTTAACTTTCATTATAGTAGAAGTTGTATATTCTGTGAAATATCATTATTTCGTAATCGATACAGTCAATTACTTTCTAGATAGTTGAAACAGATAAGACGAGTTGTGCATGCATAAAAAATAAAGGAACATAGAAAAATCGGTGCCGAATGACAAATCATTAAAAACTATTATTACTTTAACACCTTGTAGGAATTACCTTTGTCTGGAGTAGAAAGCAAGAATTCACTAAAATATTGATTTCTAATTGGCGAAACATCCTGCGGAACGTAAGGTATGATATCATCATGGAAAACATAGTCCATTTCTGTAGATGTTAATTTGTAATTCAAACAAACCTGACACTATATATATGGCATTAAATGCTCGTTTATCATCAGGTAAAAAAGTAATACCATGTTTTAAAGCAGAATTCTAGAAACTAGAGCTCAAAAACTAGACCATCGTACACAAATTTCAGTGTCGCTTTGATCCGTTAGAACTTGGTAAACATTTGTTACAGATCCTTCTCCCTTTGGAGATTCATGAGACGTCAATTCTCTAAATCAGATTAGCAAACAGTAAAGTAAACATACATTGATTTCGTAGATTGTAGATTACGATCGAACAGCTTTCCCTTCCAACGCTGTAGCACAATACCACGATAACCAAATTTCTTGTGTAAGAATATTTGACCAGGCTCATATAAAGATTCAGAGGCCTTTTGCAGGTGACCAATTAGTTCTAATCTGTGGTTGAACATTAGAGAATCCAAGTTAACCTACTTAATTGGGCGACTGGGAGAAAGTAGATACCTTCTGATTATGAATTCAGGAGCACGGAGACCAAAGGTTGGCATCAAACCAATACCAAGTTTATTCGTTAAACAAGCAGCTAGCATTGAATATAATTGTTTAGGAGGGAACGGTTAATGTCTGCCGGGCCTGTCAGTTTCAGCTCTTTCTAAAATATCATTATGGTTATTAACGATGTAAACATCAGTCAATGGTGTGCAAAACACAGATAGGCGGACTACAATAATGAGACAAACAGATATAGATAAGTAGTAATAGTTCCAAGAAGCGAAACTTGATTTAAACACCCACCACACTGTTAGGAGGAGACAAAAGGATAGGCAGCAATACATGAGAAGTGATTGAGAATTAGGTTAAGGCGACCAACAAAATCATCCAATACCAAATAAAAATTTACGGGGGGATATGAAGCTTTATCCATTTCCAACGGCTGGCCAAACTACTGTAGGAGTAGGTTGATAAGATCAGACGAAAATATAGGACTATTGTATGAAAACGTTCAGTAATTAAGTGAGTATTACGGTAATTAGCGGTTATAGTAACTGAAGACCTTTGGTGTGAGTTTCGTTACAGCACAATCAGACGATACTCATATTCAGCTCTCAAACGTTGTATTCGGGAGTCGATACCTATTGGAAGGGACGATATGTGACCGTAGCCAAAGACTAACAGGCGCGAGTCTACTAAGCTGATTAGCTAGACGTTGGGAAGTGTCCTGACAAGCAAGCAAGCTCAACTTATGGTTATTTTGCCTTACATATATAGAAAATACATAACAAAATCGGGAGTTCCTAGTATTTTGCGTGTAAATGTTTCTTGGGACGGACTTGATCTCTCAGCTGACCGAAGCGAATTGGTTAGATGGTGCAAAGGTAGGGTCTTATTAATCAATTCTATGAAATATGCTAATGCACATTGAATCCAGCAAGTTACCAGTATATCGCTAACTGTACATCGCTCCCACGTGTGCAGGAACAAAAGGACAGGAGTAACACTAATTCATGACTTAAAAGCAACTGTAGAGTGCAGCGCAGCGGCAGCCAAATGATTTCGAGCTGGATGGTCACTTCACTGAGAATTCAAATGCTTTGACGAGATGTCCCAGCTTTTACGCTCCACCTATGTAAGACGACACTTAAAGTACCACATTCAAGCAGCTGGTCCATATCATATTGAAGATGCTGACACTCGGGTGTGTTCAGCTCTAGAGAGCAAAGTTAAGGGTCTTCCCAAACCCCCCAACAATGAATGCCTGAAACACATGAATTTTTACACCTCACCGTACCATAGAACGCGAGGTGACCATAGATTAGCATTCCGTATCTTTAATAACGAGGTCATAGCAAGAAGGTTCGAAAAACGACAATCAAATAAACCAAGAGTGAGATACCGTTTTTCCTCATCGAGTAGTCAGTGATAGGAACGCCCGGATACGTGGTATCAGCCCCGTCGATGAGGCTGGTACCATTGATACCCATGGATTAATTACTGTGACGATGCATTCCGGTTTTAAGACTGACAGTAGAATTCACAATTCTAAGCAAATAATAAATATATACTGCGAGGGTGTCCCACGAGGAAAAACCCAAATGCACAGGCAGTTTGTAGCACGTACTACTAGCGTTTACTTGCAAGCACGAGCGATCTGAAACACAACACAACTGTCAGGACCGGTAAATGCCACTGAAGTAAGAACGCGGCGTACTGGCACAACAGTAATATATTGAAAAATTGAAAGACGCGGTTCGAGTACAAAACGGGAAGCTTATTACAAAATGGGTTTATTCATTGTTCTGCTTGCGTAAGACTTGTTTTTCTTCTTCTAGTACGTTTACTCTTTGTTGCCCTGCAATAAGGAAAACAAACTCATATTAGTAACGTCACATGTAGTGATTCTTAGTACCGTTACAAGTTGTCAGTTGAATATTTGCGCCAAATCCCAATCCGCATTCTGATTTCAGTTTCAGTTTCATAAGCACAAAAGTTGCAGTCAATTCCATGTTAACTGACAATTATTGCAATCGTTTTTCATTTCAATCGACTCATTATTATTTGTTTCAATCTTTCACAATTCCATAGTTTAGTCAGGTACTACTGACTTCGAATTCGCTATTAACTGTACATTAACTCGTTCTATTTGATAATGTCCTACGTATGCACTGAGATCACCTATTTCTAACCATAATCTGGAAACTACGAATAATTTATTGTAAGCAACATTGCTAAAATTTTTTACTTCTCCCAAGCATTAATGGATTATCACTTCATATATATAGAAATTTTTACTTTCATATGTATTTTGGACACATGTACCTAAACTGATTTCAAATATACTGTCAGTACATTTGTCCCATAAAACCTATTGGTTTGAAGTACAGGGGGTGAGACTTTTGAGCGAAGCCAAAGTGATTTTGAGAGTTTTTACATAATGTCTAGGACCAAATGGAGGTTATAAACCAGTGTGAAGAATTGGAATTATGATTTTCGTTTGATGGTTAGGGTAGGGAATTAGATCTAGGGTTGTCATCACGAACTGATATAAGCTATTATGCCAAAATTCTATTTGGCCAAAAGGATGAGTTGATTCTACATCAAAATCCGAGACCTGGTATCTTATACCTGAATGGTCCGTCCATAAATTATTGTCTGGCCGTGCAAGCGAAAGATTTGCATCACAGAAATCATACAGTCGACCTTTGTTATTGCTCATATGGAAAATGCCTTGAGTGTGTGGCGGTAAATAAATCCCCAAAATAAATAGCACTAAGTTTTCGACATTGGATGCTGACCATATGTTTTAGTGGACTCACCTAGCTGAAGGCGCTCGGTCAGGCATCCGCACCAGATCACGTGTGGTAACGCCGTGCTCAACATCAACCGCAATCGCTAGCCAGATTAGATCAGAGAATTCCGATATATTGGTCATCGCCAAATATACTCTTCCGATCTCCTCGACTCTGTCTTCTGATTTCTCTGGGCGGGAACGAAATATATTAGAAGGTGTTACTGGTAGAAGCGTTGTCAAACACTGAATACTTGTGACATCATCATTGGTGAGCCCGACGTGATCTGGTACACCTAATGCAACTGTGAGTCTGTTCCTTTTTGGGATTTTTTATATATCATTGCCTTATTTTTTTTTTCAAACATTGTCATTTTTTTCGTGTTTCTTCTTGGATATATATATTTTCCCCTCGTTCATTATCGTACTTCATACTTCATCATGACTGAACAGACACCTAAAGTACTCAAGCCTAAGACCTTGTCCCCACCTTCGTTTCAACTCATGCCTTTCTGGCCCGACAACATCGAAGCCTGGTTTTGCTACGCAGAAGCCGACTTCTCCGAGCACGGCGTGATCGACACACGTGCACAATTCCTCGCTGTAGTCAAGGCACTACCGCGCGAATTCAACAGGTACGTAACACCTAGTATGTTTACTAGTGATGTTTCCGATCCTTACGAAATCTTAAAACGCTCGATTCTTAAACGAGGAGACCTAACCGATCGACAAAGGTTAGATCAACTCTTCAACAATATCGACCTGCAACACGGTTCTGCGACGGACATGTTGCAACGGATGAGAGAGGTAATAGGCCCAAGAACTTTCGACGAAGGCCTATTCAAACAACTCTTCTTGTCAAAACTTCCCCAACAGGTGCAAGCAGTTCTGGTCTCGTTCCAGAACAATGCCTTAGACGAGCTAGCTGCATCTGCCGACCGCATTTTAGAAATTACGAAATCTACTACCGAGGTATTTTCAGTCAAAGAAAAACCTCAAACGACTCAGAATGATATAAACGACTTATGTCACACACTCACGCGTTATCTTAGTCTTCGTACCGACCGTAAGAGATCGCGCACACCACGTAGAAGCATTTCTCGTAAGCGATCTGTCTCTAGACCACGAGAGACAGATAACCCCGACTGGTGCTGGTATCATAACCAGTATGGAAAGTTTTCCAGAAATTGCAGAAAACCCTGCAATTTTCCCAACACGAAACGGACTGATTCGAAAAACAATTCGGGAAACTTTCAAGCCGGCACGCGTTAACGGCAACCGTAGCCGGCGAACATAGCCGTCTGTTATTCGTCACAGATGTGACAACGAGAGTTCGCTACCTCGTCGACACCGGCGCAGAAGTTAGCGTTCTCCCAGCAAATCCTAACGACCGGCTTCAGGAATCGGCTTTTAACTTACAGGCGGCAAATGGAAAACCGATCGCTACGTATGGCAAAAGGTACGTTTACCTTAACGTGGGTTTACGCAAACCCATCCACTGGATTTTCGTTGTTGCAGATGTTTCTATGCCAATCATTGGTATGGACCTCCTACAACACCACAATCTGATCATCGACACTCGCAAACGGAGGCTAGTAGACGGAAACACTAATTTGTCCGTTTGCGTAACTTCTTTTACTGGTTGTAGAGTATCCCCAGTCACAGTTAAACATATGATAGACCCACTCTATCAACCACTTCTCGATAAGTACCCTGGGATACAACAAACTCAACCGAAACTACCGTGTGTAACCAGCAATGTTACACATCACATCACGACTACAGGACCACCTGTATTCTCTAAAGCACGACGACTAGCTCCTGAAAAGCTAAGGTTAGCGAAAAACGAATTCGATCACATGATGGACTTAGGAATCATACGACCGTCAAGTAGCCCATATGCATCTCCGTTGCACATGGTCCCTAAAAACGACAGCAACGATTGGCGTCCAACTGATGACTATCGGCAATTGAACGCGAAAACCATTCCCGATCGTTACCCGTTGCCTCACATTCACGATTTGACAGCTACCTTGAAAAGTACAACTGTCTTTTCGAAAATCGACTTGGTTAAAGCGTATAACCAAATCCCTATGGCTACTGACGACATACCGAAAACAGCTATCATAACTCCCTTCGGACTCTATGAATTTTTGCGAATGCCTTTCGGTCTACGAAATGCTGCTCGAACATTCCAAAGATTCATAGGCGACGTTTTTCGAGGTCTCAACTTCGTACATGCGTATGTTGACGACTGTCTAATCGCAAGTCCGGACAGAGAAACACATCTCAAGCATCTGGATC